AACAGACCGTAATGGGACACAAATATGCCCTAAGACTGGCTGTTCATCAGCCATTTTACTGGCTTTACATCTAAGGACCTCACATGATGTTCATCAATTACAGAGATGTCACTCTAAAACCATTACATCTTCTGGCTGGGCATGGTGGCTCACGCCTATAATCCCAGCACTTTGGGAAACCCAGGCTGGCGGATTACCTGAGGTCAGGAGTTCAAGACCAGCCTGGCCAACATGGCGAAACCCCATCTGTACTAAATATACAAAAATTAGTGGGGCGTGGTGGTGCATGTCTGTAATCCCAGCTACTTGTAAGACTGAGGCAGGAAAATCTCTTGAACCTGGGAGGTGGAGGCTGCAGTGAGCCAAGATATCATGCCACTGCACTCCAGCCTGGGCAACAGAGTGATACTCCATCCCGAAAAAAGAAAAAAAAAAAACTACATCTTCTATCTTTTTTTTTTTTTTTTTTTTTGAGATGGATTTTCACTCTTGTTGCCCAAGCTGGAGTGCAGTGGTCCAGTCTTGGCTCACTGCAACCTCCACCTCCCGAGTTCAAGCGATTCTCCTGTCTCAGCCTCCCAAGTAGCTGGGATTATAGGCTCCTGCCACCACGCCGGCTAATTTTTGTAGTTTTAGTAGAGACGGGGTTTCACCATATTGGTCAGGCTGGTCTCGAACTCCTGACCTCAGGCAGTGCCCTCGCCTTGGCCTCCCAAAGTGCTGGGATTACAGGTGTGAGCCACTGCACCCAGCCTCCAAGAAACTTTTAATTGTGTACTAAACCAATCCTTTTACACATATCCTTTCCATCTAGAAGGATGAAGTTCAGGCCAGGCGAGGTGACTCACGCCTGTAATCCCAGCACTTTGGGAGGCTGAGGCAGGCTGATCACCTGAGGTCAGGAGTTCCAGACCAGCCTGGTCAACATGGTGAAACCTTGTCTCTATTAAAAATACAAAGATCAGCCGGAGGTGGTGGCAAACACCTGCAATCCCAGCTACTTGGGAGGCTGAGGCAGGAGAGTAGCTTGAACCCGGGAGGCAGAGGTTGCAGTGAGCCAAGATTGCGCCATTGAACTCCAGCCTGGGCGACAGAGTGCGACTCCATCTCAAAAAAATAAAAATAAAAATAAAAATAAATAAATACATTTACAAAAAAAAAGAAGAATTAAGTTCATATTGGGGGGTAACTCCAATGCTTACCTTGTTCGAGCAATAGCTAAGACTGAATTATAACTGTAGAAGGCCATATTTATTTTTGTCTCAAGTAGTTAACATAGGGACCTAGGCAAAAGGAGTAAGTAAACAATTTAGTACTTCAAAAACACATCAATTAAAAGACATCAGGATTTTAGTGTTTTTAACTATTGCAAAGGTAGAACATTTGCATAGTTAAGATACAAAATCTCCTTCAAGCTCATGTCCAACAATCAGATATTTTCTTAGCTCTGGACTTGAGAATGGTACCTTGAGATTCCAACAAATGGTAATGATCTCTAAGATGATGTCGCTCATGAAGATGGTACGGTCTTCAGAGACATTTTGATTTCTGGTCAATAGTATCTAGTAGTGAAACTTCAATGATTGCCAAGTACTTAAAAAGTAGAGCAATATATATCTATTTGTAGCCTTAAAATATAGGTAGAAAGTGGATATCCTGAATTTCTTTTCAGTTAGCATTGTTCTATATTTAGGCAAGCTGTACCAAATCCTGAAGATTGGAAGTACCCACTAATCTAATTTATATAGCAGTGGATGAAGGTAGACATGGAACCTACTAATCGCTCAAGTGGAGGTAAAACTCTTTCCCTTGCTAGTGATTCTCCAGAGCGCAAACTGAGCTTTGAACCTGTAGATAACCTTCACCAAAACCCTTCTCCATCCAGGGGCGCTTTTCTGCTAAGGGTCGCGAGGAGCGGCAGAAGAGCTGGCATCTCCCAATGGCAGCTTTGCTCTCTTGCGGCTGGAAAAGGAGTTCCAGGGCCTCTCCTGAATAGAAATCTCAGCCACAGAACTGACATTTTGAACAGGGCCTCGAAACCTCTGGACCCACACTAACGGTGGGTGGCGTTTCGCGGGCAGGAGACGACACCTGAGGTGGCGGTTAATCCGCTCGAGCCCCGGCGCTCCCGGGCGGCGGACACCACTCGCACTCGCATTGGCGCCGCCCCACGCCCGCTGCTCCCGGGCTTCCTAGGCTTTGCTCATCACCCCACCGGAGCAAAACGCGCCCTGGGCTTCCTTGCCTGGCGGTTTCGGCGCCCGTGATGTGTGCGCGGCCTGCATGCGGAAGGGTCTGGGGGTTATGCTTTGGTTTTTTGGTGCTGGGGTGGGACAGGCACTGGAACCACGACCCTCGTGGATGATCGGGGTTGTTGGAAATGAAGCCGAGAAGAAGCAGGGCCTGGGACTGAAAGGACTGAGCGCGCTGTGCGGGGGAGGAGAGGCCGAGCTTCAGAGTTCGCACTGTGCTGGGGACTGGCGGGGATGAGGTCGTGGGCGGAGGAGAGCGTGGTGGGAACTGGAAGCGGTCAGGAAGCCTGGATCGGGCGCTGATGAAAGGAGCAGGATGAGAGGAGCAGGATGCGGACGGAGCGGGCTCCGGAGGAAAAAAAAGGCAGCGAGGCCCACCAGGTCGCGGCCTGAGGGCTGGGTCTGCCCACCCCTACCTCCTCGGCCGGGCTCCGCGGAACGGCAACCTAGGTCCTCCCAGTTCCTTTCCCGGACCCCCAAGCTAGAAGGGCCAGAAGCCAAGTCTCTACGGCTCCGCCTCTTTCCTTGCCCCTGATGTCACTCTGAGTGACGACATCACCAACCAATAAGCTCTCAAGTTCTGGGGAGGGCGGGCGTCCTTCACCTTAGCAGCCCAGGAAGCCGCAAAGCCGCGTTCCCATCGCCGAAGTGACTTCTTTGTGGGGCTTGGTTTAAGGAGCGTTGGTGCTGGGGGGCCCGAGGGTTTTTCTGCCAGTCCACACTCTGCAGGCAGTGGTTAACGCCCGAGGAAACCCTTGATTGAAGACTAAACAGGCTCTTACCCTACTGACATCGTAATATGTCTGATAGTTGCCATGGTAACCATCTCGGAGTCATGAATGACATCACTTTGATGTATTCTCCCTCGGCCCCTGCAACTCCGGAACTGCCTAAGGGGCGCGGAGAGGACTTCATGGTGTCGCAGAAAGGGCGGGAATCGGAAGGAGAGCATTCCTTTCCAGAGGCCGGAATACTGTGAAATCTTCATATGGAAATCTGTAGTCTACTAAAAATATTTGCTTCCTCAATGTTCCCTTAACAAGTGTTGTTTGTGATTAATAGTTTGTGTAGAAATCTCAACATATAAAATGTATGTGATAGTAGCTGTGAAATGACAGACACTATAGGTTTGAGGGCACTTCAGTTCCTAGGATGGCCAACTGAGCCATCTTGGGAAAATGAAAGATCTAGAAATATTCTCGTTCCCCAATTATCTTTTCCCATCCATTTTATCTGGTTCCAGAAGAAAGATTCAAAAAAAAATTTTTTTTAGGCCGGGTGCGGTGGCTCACGCCTGTAATCCCAGCAGTTTGGGAGGCCGAGGTGGGCGGATCACAAGGTCAGGAGATAGAAAACATCTTGGCCAACATGGTGAAACCCTGTCTCTACTAAAAAAATACAAAAATTAGCCTGGCGTGGTGGCGTGCCCCTGAAGTTCTGATTACTCTGGAGGCTGAGGCAGGAGAATCGCTTGAACCCGGGAGTCGGGGTTGCAGTGAATCGAGATCGCGCCACTGCACTCCAGCCTGGGCGACAAGAGCGAGACTCCGTCTCAAAAAAAAAAAAATTTTTTTTTTTCTTAGTGGCTCTACTCGACCACCATACAGCAAGGAATCGCCTTCTCACGGAGAATACGTCTCCTAACATGTGAGCTGACCACTGACTTTACTCATCTGGGCTATACATTTTTAAGAATGGAAGATGGCGGTATTAAACGTCAGTAAAAAATGCAGACTGCTTTTAATCCACAAAGGATTTTTCAGCTAATAACCAAATAGATCAACTGTTAAACAGGCAAAACTTTTCAGTTTGGCCACTAGAGGTCTCTTTGTGCATGTCTGATGTTCAACTTTGCACATAAAGGTTTCACTTCACGTTCTGTTTACCAGAATTAAAATCTACAAAGCTTTAGACTCTACTTTTCCCTCACTGAAAATTCCTGGTGGTCAAATTTTGAGTTCTAGAAGGTAGATGTAGTTTTCATACTAATTTCATCAATTAATCATTGCACTACCATGTATTGGTACTTTTCTGGAAAAGATCATAAAGGATGCAAATATATTTTCAGTTCCCTGGGAGACATTTTATACGGGGAAATATTCTTATTCATGCATTGTATTCACTTACAACCAGGAACAGTGAATATCATTAAGTATTCATAAACCAGATGAACGATTCCATGCCCAGTATTTGAAAGATGAGCTAGGTTTTCTACCATGGCCATATGTCAGCAATCCTATCCTAAAAAGGGAAGGGCTAAGAACCCTTCTTATTGAAATCCGTTTGTTCAAAGTAATGTCCATCTTCCCTAGTTATGAGACTTGGCAGTTTCTTTGACTTTCAGGATAAGAGATTTATCATGTAAGGAGTTTCTGTATATAATCTTCAGAAGAGAAATTTTTTTAAAAATATTTTTTCCCCATGACTCTGGCCCTGAGAACTGTGTTAGGTTGCTGTCTTAATGAGTTCCTTGCTCATTTTCTATGGCGAAGAGTAATCATCGTCTAAACCTCAGAAGATGTTAGATACTGAAAATGTAAACTATTATTTTTAATGGCCATTTTCCTACATACGCCACCAGATCAAGTATTACTAACTGTATTTTGTAATGCTTTGCAGGAAAAGACTATGCATCTACTTCACATAACTCCAATTTTAAACTCTTGCTGTCAGCATAGCTATTAGAAACAGGCTAATATAAGATCCCTGGGGACAATTTACTAGATTCTCCTCAAGGGAGAAACCCAGGTGCCGGGTGAAGGCAACAGTTTATCAACAAAGCAAGGAAGACACAGGAGGAAGAAAACGAAGAATGGAAGTAGAAAGGCTCATAGAAAAAAAAAAGACTAATTTAATCCCTCTTTCCTGGAGATGGAATTAAGCTAGACTTGGTGGCCCGCTTTGGCCATCTGTGTTTTAAAATGGCATATCACAAATAAAAAGTATGCTTTTACTGATAGCTTTAACCTGTGGTACTACTTAAAGCATACGTTTAAAAATATTTAATTATTAATAGTAATGAGAATTTTTCTTTTCTTTTTTTTTTTTTTTTTTTTTTTGAGACGTAGTCTGGCTCTGTGGCCCAGGCTGGAGTGAAGTGGCGCGATCTCGGCTCACCGCAAGCTCCGCCTCCGGGTTCACGCCATTCTCCCGCCTCAGCCTCCCAAGTAGCTGGGACTACAGGCGCCCGCCACCACGCCCCGGCCTATTTATTGCTATTTTTAGAGAGAGGGGGTTTTCACCCGTCCATTTAGCAGGAAGGCTCGATTTCCTGACCTCGTGATCCGCCTGCCTCGGCCTCCCAAAGTGCTGGGATTACAGGCGTGAGCCACCGCGCCTGGCCAATGCTGATAATTCTCAGTATCACCCTTAGTATTATTAACCGGGTTACGTTTTTTAAAAAAAAAACAAAAAACAAAACAAAACAAAAAAACTAGTTCATAATTAGTGCCCTTTTAAATAACTGATCTGTAGGAATCTTTTAATCTCCTTAAGTGATAAAGAGAACAGATATCTAATTTCTTGTAATAGTACCAAAGACATCCAGCACTATAACGTCTACAGAGGGTATGACGTCTAGCGGTAAAACGGCTTTATTCTCAGAACAGAGAGTATCAGTTTCCTCATTTGCTTGCTGCCTGTGTTTCCTTTTTACGTTCAGATCTCTGTGCTGTAACCTTCTAAATCCTTATCACCAGGCCCCAGGAAATATCACCTGGTCGGCACACTCCTGCAGGGCTAGATCACTGTGCACACACTTAACCTTCCATTGTTTTCCATACGTTTCCTAGGATGCGGGGGGCTAAAGGATGACGGAGAGTCGCCTCCCGGTTCCTCCTCTCGTTCTTATCTGGGCCGTGTAGGACAAATGTACCTCACGTCCCTCGATGCGAAGGTCTGGCCGCGAGCAGCCACGGCCCCCGGCACGTGACGGTCACGGAGCCTTCGCGGTCTCCCGCGGCTGGGGGGCACCCGGGGATGCGGCCGGCACTGACGTCGTCCTCCCGGTTACCCACAAGCCCCCGGGCCGCAGCCGAGCAGGAAGAGGCGCGCGGGGCCGGCGCCTGCCGGGGAGATCGGGGCGCTCCCTCAGCGAGCCGGCGCCGCCGGCCCGGCCTCCTACTGCTTGCAACCGGGGAAGGCGGACCCTCTGACAATTCAGCCGGGGCTGAGAGGGAGACCAACGCCAAGGCGGTCTTGCATCGCCCCCGGCTTTCCAGATGCAGACCCTCCTGGAATGGGAGCCCTTCCCTGACAGCTGTAGGACGGGAGACTGCCGAGGGGACGCCTGGACTGCCCCGCCCTCGCGCGGTCACCCACCGGGGACCGTGCGACGGTCGCTCCTAACCCCAGGAGCTACAGAGCCGAGTCACCCTGAGGAGCGCCATATGGCGCTAGTTGCGCGCTGTTCTTTAATCAGCCACACTGAACGCGCCGAGCCCAGTTTTACCTCCCGGGCCCCACCTTTCCACGCCTCCTCCGGCTTCCCGGGGTGTTTTGTGTGTCATTCTCCCACGTACCGTCCCTCCCCGTCCCTCGGCCCTCTTGCCCAGTCTCCCTAGTCTTCCAGAAGCTAGCGGCCGCGGGCGTTCCTGGTTCGCGCTCCCGCCCCCTCCGCCCCGCTGACTGGCCGCTTCCTCCGGAGCCCCAGCGTCCCGAACCCGGGACTGCATTTCCCGGCAGGCGCCGCGGCCCGCGGCCAATGAGGGGCTGAGGATTTGGCGGCGGCGGCGCCCCGAGAGTCGGGGTGGGGGGGCTTTGTGCGCGGCGGCGGCGGGAGCGGCGGCGGCGGCGGCGGCCAGCACCGAGGCGGAGGCCGAGGGGACTGTGCACAGGTCGCCGCGGAGAGGCGTGCGAATTCCGAGCCGAGCTCCGAGGACCCTGCTGTCCTGGCCGGGCCGCCAGCCGTAGGCTCCTCTCTGGCAACAGCGGCGGCGCGGCGACCCCGTCCCTCGGCCTCCCCTTCCCTCCCCACCTCCCGAGCCTTCCTCTTCCCGCAGCACGCCCGGCCCGGCCCGGCCGTGGCCCTCCTCGGTGCCGGCCGCCATGGCAGAGGCGTCCGGCGCGGGGAAAATCTAGCCCGGGGATTTCATGCGGCCTAGCTCGGTTCCGCCTCCTCCCCGCGCGGCCCCGGCGGCTGCCCGCAGCCCAGCCCCACTCCGGGCCTCCGTGTCTCTCCTGTGATCGCACTGACACGGCCGGGGGGTTAGAATGGAACAAACTGAAGGTAAAGTGCGTGTGCGTGTGTGTATGTGTGTGTGTGCGCGCGCGCGCGCGCGTGTAATGCTAGGAAGGGCTGAGGAGGAAACGACGGGGAGGGGGCGACCTAGGGATGGGGCGCCAGACCCCAGGAGGAATGGAAGGGGAAGCGGGTGGCCTGAAAGGGCTCGAGGGGGGTCCTGACGGAGGAGCAGATGGCAAGGTGGGGGGTGTGGAGGGAATTGGGGGGGGGGGCAGGGGAGGTGGGAGTGGGATCGGAGTCGGAGTGGCGCTAAGCTGGGAATTGGGAGAAGTGGGATGGGGGCGGGGATAAGGATGGGATTGGGGAGGGGCAGGGAAAGGGGAGAAGAGTTACATGGAGATTAGAGACCTGGGTGGACTGATAAATAGGGAGGTTTGGGGATGGAGTGTGGGAACCAAAAGAGTCTGGGAGAAGGGGATACATTTGCTGGAGAAATGGGGCATTTTATGAGAATGAAGGGAGAAATGAGGAATGGAAGTGAAGGAAAAGGTGGATTAGGGAAAGGGATGAGGCAGGCTGCAATAGGAGGATGGGAAATAGACGCAGGAAACTGGAAGACAGGATTGGGCTAGGGAAGGAAATTAACTAAATGATGACAGGGATGAGAACGATCGACTTAGCGTCAGAGTGGGAGGAAAAGAAGGGGATGGAGGTCGTTAAAGTGTTAGGAAGGGAGGCCTTTTGTTCCTATATTTGTGTGTATTCTGTGCCTTTCTTTCAAGACTAGAGAATAGAGAAGCTAGTGGTTATGGGATTGTGATTGTTGTGAAATGGGGAGGTGTGGGTTTTACTGTTTTGAGGGAGGAGACGATGTGTTTGTGTTATGGAAGAGAGGCAGGGAGAGACATGGCCATAATTTGATGGTTTTGGGGAGGAGTGAAGATTATTCCGATTTAAAGGGGGCAGGGGCAGCCATGTTTGCTGCCAGGCACTGCAGTGTAAATAAATTCCTTTTCCTCTCCGACATCAGTATGAATCTGGAAGGGGCCAGTTCAGATTGTTAGCCCCCTTTCTTTCTATTCATGAACTCTTTTCCCCTTACA